CGCATCTCTCGTTTCAACTGTACCACATCATTTTCTACACTCTCACCAGGATGTGTAGGAATGTGACCTGCCCGGATAAGTGAGACAGGAGTTGCCCGAGCAATTTCGAACCCTATAAAATAGAATTTCTACCCAGGAAACAATCGATCGAGCTTTTCATTCATACCAGATCCTTCTGTGACATCACCATCTTCCAGTGATGCTATCATAGTATCACTAAAACCGGCATCTTTCATAAAACTGCGTAGCGATGCGGGAGTTGGGAATCCAGTAGCATTCAGAGTCGTGGCAAATGTCGTCGGTGCTGCTGTAATCTCATAATTCGAACTCTTTTCTATAAAACAAGTAAGACACATCCTACCGGTAGTAGATGTCAATTCTGTTACGGTAGTGTATACAGTAGTTGTCGTAGGGAAAGTAGTTGTCGTCTCTGGAGCCTCAGTGCTAGTTGATGTTGTGTATGTGCTAGTAGTGGTAGATGTTGTAGATGTGCTAGTTGTCGTCGATTCCGTCGATGACGTAATCAGCTGATCATTGTCGAGATCATGAGCCAGGGTTTCATCCTGCGATGGGAGTATACCACAGCGGGGAGGCTGAAGTAATCGATATATCGATTGGCTTGGGCTAACATTACGAAGTGTTACCGTAATGTCATTGCATCCTTCGTCTAGCTTGTAGCAGATTCTCACTTGGCAGTTGAAGTAGACAGATTGTTGATCGGGAAAGTTGAAAGCGTTAGCAGCCTAAGATTGTAAAGATTATCATGTGGGGGAGGAAGCTCAGAGGGTTTAGTGTCAGCGAAAACCGTACCGTGAAGGACTTCGTGAGATCAGAAGAGTATGTAAGTTCAGGCATCAAGAATGTATCAGTTGAGCATCTGAAACGATGTCAAGTACGTTGTAAAAATGTTACGTCACGAATGGTACTATTTCAAACAGAAAAATTTGGTTTTTCTGAAATTAATTCACGGAGTAGCTTAATGTAACGATTGATGTAACCCCTCCACAGATTTCCGTAAGATTGCAACATAATGTTTTTCGAATGAGTTGAGAAGTTTTGTTTCTCTAGCAGACTTCTGGTAATATTCGGCAGAATAAAATAAACTCTACA